TGAGTAATGGAGAGCTTCTTACAAGTTTCCATAAACTGGTAGCTGCTACCTAATAGCTTAGAGCTGAAGGGGCCCAAAAGGATTAACTAGTACAGTCTGTTAAAAAAACGTTGTTTTTTTTTGAGGAAGATTAGCCCTGAGCTAACATCTATTGCCAATCCTCCTCTTTTTTGTTGAGGATGATTGGCCCTGGGCTAACATCCGTGCCCATCTTCCTCTACTTTGTATGGGATGCTGCCACGGCATGGCTTGATGAGCAGTGTGTAGGTCCATGCCCAGGATCCGAACCTGCAAACCCTGGGCCACCGAAGTGGAGCACTTGAACTTAACCGCTATACCACAGGGCCGGCCTCAAAAAAACTTTTTATCATGTTACATTTAATACACGTAAAAGAATATATGTGATGTATCTTTAGATTATGAAGTGTTATAATAACATGAATGCCCATGAACTTCCACTCAAGTTCTAGAACATAATCAATGCTTCTGTGTTGCTTCTCCATAGTTCCCCTGCTGCCCCCACCCCCGGAGTAACCACTATCCTGGATTTTATGTTAATTATCCCCTTGTTTTATATATCTAGTGAGTATATTATTTTGATTTGGTTTTGAACTTTGTAAAAATAATACCATGCTGCACGCAGTCAGCTGCACCACGCTTCTTTCCCTCAATTTTGTGTTTTAACCTTTAACCATATTATTGCAGTTCATTTTTACTGCTGAGTGAGTCTACTGTGGGCACATGCCACAATTTCTATCAGTATTCTCTTATCACTGGACGTTTGGTTTGTTTCTAGTCTTTTTTTCTATTATAGACACTGTCACTGTGCACGTTCTTACACACATCTGAACCATTTATTGAAGAGTTTCTCTGGGGTGAATTTCACTCAAGAGTGAAATTACTGGCTTGCAGGGTCTGTGAGCGCTCAACTGCACAAGACAGTGCCGACATGTACCAATTTACTCTCCCATCAGCTATGTATAAGAGTCCTTGTTATTAGATTTCTTAATTGTTGCCCGTTTAATGGGTATAAAATGATACCTCATGGAAATGCTGATTTGTATTTTCCTGAGCACTAATGAGATTATTTTTTTATATGTTCATTGGCCATTCATGCTTCCTGTTCTGTTAAATGCCTGTTTATGTGTCTTGCCCATTTTTCTACTAGGTCATTTGTCTTTTTCTTACTGATCTATAGGAGTATTCGGGATACTAATCTTTTGTCAGTTATCTGTGTTGCAAAAAAATCTCCCAGGGGCTGGCCCAGTAGTGTAGTGGTTAAGTTCAGGGTGCTCCACTTCAGCGGCCCGGGTTCGTGGGTTCGGATCCTGGGCATGGACCTACACCACTCTTGGAGCCATGCTGTCGCAGCATACCACATATAAAACAGAGGAAGACGGGTACAGATCTTAGCTCAGGGCCACTCTTCCTCACCAAAAAAACAAAAAAAAAAAAACAAAAAGAACTCCCAGTTTGTGGCTTGTCTCTTAATTATCTTTGTAGTATCTTTTGATGAATAGAAAAGTTCTTACCCTACTTTTTTTTAAAAAAGAAGAGAAAATAGGCACAAAGAGGTAATAGAAATTCCTCAATATAAAAGTGTTACTACAGGGGCTGGCCGGGTGGCATAGCGGTTAAGTTCGTGTGCTCTGCTGTGGGGGCCTGGGGTTCATGGGTTTGGATCCCAGGCACCAACCGATGCACCACTTGTCAAGCCATGCTATGGCGGCATCCCATATAAAGTAGAGGAAGATGGGCACGGATGTTAGCCCAGGGCCAATCTTCCTCGGCAAAAAACGGAGGATTGGCAACAGATGTTAGCTCAGGGCTAATCTTCTTCCCCCTGCCCCCAAAAAACTGTTACTACAAAAGAATGAAGTTGGTCCCTTACCCAACACCATATACAAAGATTAACTCAAAATGGATTACAAATCTAAATGTAAGACCTAAAACTGTAAACCTCCTAGAAAAAAACATAAGGGAAAAGCTTCGTGACTTTGGATTTGGTAATGATTTCTTGGATATGACACCAAAAGCACAGGCAACAAAAGCAAAAATAGACAAATGGGAGTATATCAAATGTAAAAACTTCTGTGCATGAAAGGAAAGAATCAACAGAGTAAAAAGGCAAAGTACAGGATGGGAGAAAATATTTGCAAATCATTTATTTGATATTGGGTTAATATTCAGAATATATAAAGAACTCCTAAAACTCAACAACAAAAAAAACAAATAACCCAATTAAAAAATGGGCAAAAGACTACACAGATATTTCTCCAAAGATGACATACAAATGGCCAAGAAACACATGAAAAGATGCTCAACATAACTAATCATTAGGGGAAATGCAGATCAAAACCACAATTAGATATTACCTCACACCCATTAGGATGGTCACTATCAAAAAAAGAAAATAACAGATGTTGGCAAGGATGTGGAGAAATTGGAAACCTGTGGACTGTTGGTGGGAATATAAAGTGGTACAGCTGCTACAGAAAACAGTATGAAGGCTCCTCAAAAAATTAAAAATAGAATTATCATATGGATCCAGCAATTTTGCTTCTGGGTATACATCCAAAAGAATTGAAAGCAGGATTTCAAAGAGATATTTGCATATCCATGTTCATTGCAGCATTATTCACAATAGCCAAGAGATGGAAGCAACCCAAGTGTCCATCAATGGGTGAGTGGATAATGGATGAGTGGATGAGTGGTATATACATACAATGGAATATTATTCAGCCTCAAAAAAGAAGGAAATTCTGACACATGCTACAACATGGATGAACCTGGAGGACATTATGGTAAGTGAAATAAGTCAGCCACAAAAAGACAAATACTTTATGATTCCACTTATATGAGGTATACAAAGTAGTCCAACTCTTAGAAACAGAGAGCAGAATGGTGGTTGCCAGAGGCTGCGGGGAGGAGGAATGGGGAATTGTTGTTCAAAGTTGTTCCACAGAGGGCCGGCCCCGTGGCTTCGCGGTTAAGTGCGCGCGCTCCGCTTCTGGTGGCCCGGGCTCGGATCCCGGCGTGCACCGACGCACCGCTTCTCCGGCCATGCTGAGGCCGCGTCCCACATACAGCAACTAGAAGGATGTGCAGCTATGACATACAACTATCTA